AATACAATGAAATCATGACATCAGATTTGAAAGAATGACTAGTGGTGTTACAAATGTGATCAAATGTGAGTTTTGTACTGAGAGATTTGAAAATGTACACTTTAGTTATGAAAATAGTACAAACCAATTTAAAAAAAACTGTAACAGGCACCATTACAAGAATGAAAAGGAGAAGGGTGGAGGCAGATAGATAGATAAATAGATAGAACTTGTACTATTCTAACAAGTCACCACCTTTATTATGAAAATGAAGCTGCTGCCATATCGATGATGATTTGGCCTGAACATTTCACATTTTGATTCATGACTCCATCAGATCTGTTCCACTGAATTTCATGTCAGTTCTTGTGTAATTTGCCAAATCTCAGCTTACCTGACATACTTTCCCTTCTGTAAGAATGGCTTTTTTACAGCCACCCTTCCACTGTGACCATTTCTGATGAGGCTTTGGTAAACAAGGGATAGATCAACTGAAGGACCAAATGTCTCTCTCACCTTGTGTCAGGATTGTTTCCTCTTTGTTAAGAGTATGACTCTCAGATACTGTGAATCTGTTGTAGCTAGCCTGACTCTGCACATCATGCTGAGATATGCCAGGTTTTCAGCTAATAGCTCTTTGGGAATCACCTTGATTTTACGTCTGTCAAACTATGTTACCTTTGCTTTTTTTCACAGATTCAACTAAAGAATTTGGAACAAGTGTTAGGTCGGTGGTCTAACAAACAGAAAATCATTTCACTAGCTGGGCCCACGTCCTCATTTTAGGTTTAACAGTGTTTGAGTAGGTAAATGCTTTGACATGAATTGAGCTGCGGTTTGGGGAAGGCCTCGAAGGGGAATGGCGATGGCTCCCGGGCCTGGCAGATCACCACGTACTAAATAGAGGTGAAGAAGTTAAAGAATGGAGAACAAGGAAGCAGGGAGGGAGGGTGGGGCACGTAAACGAGAATGATCGGCTTGCAAAACTGGGGGAACCTACATAGATGACAGCCGGAAGGAGCGTGTTTGGAGGCGTGGTCCTGCTCCTGAAAGTCCGATACATAATCTCCAATTCTTTGAAAATGGACAGGTGCAAGGATTGAAGAACAGTCGATAGAGCTCCAGAAAGCTTCGAGAATTATTGCTAAGAAAATCTGCATCCTTAGAAGAAAAGTATAAGGAAAAAAAAAAACCCACCGCTGTAATAAATCTAAAACAAGCTGTCTTGCAGAAAATTAATGGAAAAAATTCTGACCAGTCAGAGACATCCAAGTAGTTTTTGAAGTGAAAGATATCATGGTCCCTGATAAACGTGACAGTTTGCTCCTCTTTCTGTTATGTGGTTATGTGTAACGATCATGCTGCCTTTTTTTTTTTTTTAGAGATGTTTGACTCTGTGCTGGAGAAAGAAATTTCAAGCAACAAAACATTAAATGATCAATCATTAAGTATAGATGTGTCCAGCAGCTCTAATGTAACCATTTCTGTTATGTTGTTTTATAAAATTATGTGTTTTTGGTCAGGTTGGAATTAATAAGTAATCTTTTTTTCGATGGTTGTTTGGCATTAGAGGTTAACAAATAATCATAAGTATTGTTTACCACACATAAAATATAATTCTTATAGCAGCATTCAGCTTGCATGGCTGTTTTTGCTTCACTTCACTGGAATAGCTTAATGTGAAAATGATGAATTACAGTCACAAAGTTTTACTTTTTTGGGGGGTAGAAATGTGCAGTTCTTGTGAAACAAAATCCATATTTCATATTTTCACACATTGTCAGATGCCTTGAGTCACAAGCTGAGCATATGCAGAGATCTTTTAAACCATTTCTCTAAACCAATTGTCCTAATCACTTGTAAATCCTTCCAGTCAAGTGGCTCATGAGAAGAAATCGATGACATTAAGCTGAGTAACCATAAACATCCTTTGTGGTCGTTTTCTCTCCACACTCCTGTTAAACATGCTACAGTGAACAAACGCCCTCTTCATCCCCCCACATTTCATTCTGTGAATTCCTTTCATCAGTGTGGGTCACTGACTCCGTCTTTCTGCTCTTGCTCCTCCACTGACCCGTGCTGCTTGTCCTGCATGTCTACAAGATATGTTTGTTGACCCATTGCTCTTGTTGCCCTCCCTCCCCCCCTTCCCCATCGAGGAACCCCCTGCCGCCTGCTCATCTCGCCCTCCAGCTGGTTCCCTCCACTGTCCAGAAGCCGCCGAGCTCTCCTGGCATGAGTAGGATGGCTAATCTAGATAGCGGGAGGCCTCCCTCCTGCAAGCATACACAAGAGAAGGAAACCCTAATTGCTTATGTCATAAAGCTCTCTGACCCAGATAAGCCTTCACTCCCCAAAGCTGCTGAGATAAACCCCACTTTACCTCACCAAACCTGCCTCTCCTGATCCACCAACCCCCTCCTAACCTTTCCGCGCCTTCTGCTACGTTATTAACACCCTGAGCAGGGGGAGAAGAAATGTACATCATGGGTTTTAAAGTTTAAAAAAGATGACTAAGCATATACCAATTATATATAGTATGTATGAAAAATAAATGAATAACTTAAATGCATGAGTACTCTAACTCAAAGATTTTTGCTACATTGGTAAGGCCTTGCTGTTGTACATGAGTAATAGGGAAGTCGCGATGAAGTGAGTGGAAGGCAAAAACAAAGCCTTACTTAATAAAGCTGGTGATGACCAAGTGTGCGTCCAATGAAAGCTGATCTAAAGTCATAGCATGGCGTTGCGTGCCACTTGCCCTCGTGTGCCTGGACCCAATAATGAAGGCTTAGCCACAAAATGCCACGGCCCCTCGCACAGTTGCCGAGTGCTGAATGTCACACGTGCTCCACTTTATCAACCAACAGATGGCCAGTTAAACCATCAACGCTCGAGCGAGGTTGAAGCTGAGCACAATGATACTGACGTGTTTTATTTTCTTCATCACCTTTCTTTTTTTTTATTTATCAGGATATAATGAAGGCTCTCCTGGGAACCTCACTGGCCATGGGCGTCATTGCAGAGGGAATTCAGTCCATATGAAGCAGAAGTCATACAGAGAACTCATTAAACTCCAGTGTAACAGAGATCTTAATTACTAAGTAGGAACTTTTAATTGGATTCTGTCCCAGCTCACCTTGTAATCACCTGTCACATGCTGTTGGTGCAGGGATGGCTTTAAAGCCTCCCCATCTTAAACCCCGTTACACCACAGGTTAGAGTCAACTAGGTCAAGTGTTTTGGAGAATGATACTCCTCTGATAACTCGCAGTTTTCTCACTTTGAGCGACACATATAAAGGTTTTACATAACGCCACGCACGCTCTGTGTTCAGACGGGCGAAGCCTGCTGTGTTTGAAACGCTTTACTTGGACATGAAGTGTTGCAGTTGTTTTCAAATGATGTTTCTGGAAACTCTGTTGACATTAGATGTCATTGCAAATCCCTCTGGTGAAGTTAATTGATTGGATTTGAGCAATTCCAAGTGTTCAAAGAACCTTCGCATGACTGAGGATGTTTGTTTTCTTACTTACAATTTGTTTTCAAATTACTTTTCATTGGAAACGTGTACACAAACAATACAAGAAAAAAAATGTAATAAATTTAATTACTATTTATAAAAACTGGTGGTATAAAAACACATACAGTGAAGTTATTTATTTTACAGTTTTGTAGAGTGAATGAATGCATTTTTAAAATTTCAGCCCAAGGGAGTCTTTACTCGTCTTATAACAGAAAAATTTGGACCCATTTTTTATGCCAAATAAGCATTTCAGTTTAAAAAAAATCAAAGACAAATACATTTCCTCATCCTCCCACTTTACTTACTGCATAAATGATAATATATATACATGTTTAATTTTGAAGTATTTTATACTTATTTCATATCAGTGACCTTCCCTGATTTGTAAAGCGACTCATTAAAGGAGCATTTCCTGAATTCTTTCATTTTTTAAAAAAAAGAGTCTAATATCCAGTCATTATTGCGATTGTTGTCTAATCTTTCAGTGCGTGATAAAGTTTGACTGAATGCTTTACAATATTTAAAAAATTGTCAGGGTCTCGGGGGGTGGTGGGGGGGCTAAGACAGGGGTTAGAGGCGAGAGGCAGGGCACTCTGTGGACAGGTGCCAGTCTGTCACAGGGCTCACTACATCTCAGTTACATCTAAATAATTATTATTTTTGTCCAGTAAAGCTGAATTTTAAGCATGTTCACAATGTGGATGCTGTTACATTTCCTTTGATTTAATGAAGTCCAGTCTGAACCTACTGTAGGTTCAATAGAAAAAATGTGATATTTTAAGTGATATCAGTCTTACCCGTAAGTCTCAATAAATTAGAGCCATTAGCACAGATCCTTTCCCAATTTTTCCCAAATACCTCTTGGAGATGTTATATTTGTATTTCTCCCCTTTATCAATCAACAACCTTCAATATTTATAAGCCTCTCGACTTTTGTTGAATTGAAAACTGACTGAATGGCCAAAGGATTTCTGAAGTTTCTACGTGTAGTATGTTTGCTAATGTTGGTAAATAGACTGCACAGGATTAAGGGTAATATATGAAATGAAGAAATTACAATATTAAGTGTTTTGCACACTTCCATTACACTGTCTTGTCTTGTTTTTTTGCACATTGCATTTTACATAGTCCTGTGTTTGTCTGTCATATGTAGCACCAGGAATGTTGTCTCGTTTCACTCTGTACTGAACCACTGTACATGTTTGAAATGACAATAACAGTCACTTGACATCTTCATGCAGCGCATTAAGTGCTTTCTAACAAACAGACACAGATGCACTGGAGGCAGCTCAGGGTTCAGTATCTTTCCTAAGCCATGTGGGCTGGATGATCCAGGGATCAAGCCACTGACCTTCTGACTAGAAGACGACCTGCTCTACCACCTGAGCCACAGCTGGCTCATTCTTTCATTCGCATACTCTGAGTTTGTGATATAATCAGGTGTGATTTCACTAACTTACTCTATTCTTGAGTTAGAGTCAATCACAGTCACGGGTCAAATGTAAATAATCCAGGTTTATTAGAAATTTCAACAATACAAATCAGGCATCATAGAGAAAAAATAAATAAATTAAAAAAAACCAATAAATTTCCAAATAAGGAAGAAACACTGCACCAGGAAAAAGCACTGCACCACATAATCACATAAGGTAACGTGTTCAAACTGAATCTGCTCCAAAAACGCTAAATAAATTATTTCATAGTGGTTTCAATTTGGTGCTACAGGTTTTTCTTTGTGGCTCGAGGTCATAAAAAACTATTCCTGTTAACAAGAGTTTTTACAATAAATATATCACAAACATGACGAGTGAGGAAGAAAAAACACGTCAGTCCGTCTCGAATCGAGAATTACATTTAAATTAAACACTTAAACATGTGAGTCAAACATATCTGAAGTGTATATGCATTCACTACAAACAAAGAAGAAGAGTGGTAGTCGAGGTTAATACTGTCTGTATGTACCGTAGTTACAGAATAAAGCCTAAGATCAAACATTTGCTGTCTTTTACTCCGATAGTAGCAAGAGAAGCAATCCTTTAACACCACAGGCTGCTCCTGTTTGTGGTTCACACTTTGATTATGCTTTATATGTGTGCTACATTAGTGCCTGTAGCTGCCCGCTCCCAACACACACTCCAGCTGAAGAGGTAAAAACAACAACAAAAATCTCTTGATAAATGTAGAGGGCTGCCAGTGTCAGATCCCCAGTGTTATAAATACAGCAGCTCTCCACAGTGTATGCAAAAATCTAGTGTTGTGCATAATCTCTGTACACAGGCTCCCACAGCTTTGTTCTCATGAGATGAACCCTTTCAGTCTGATAAGCACTCGCAGCCAAATGTGCTAACGGCCATGCTGCGGAGCCGCTTCGCGTCCTGAGCACCAAACAGCGCCGCTGATGTGCTGCTGCTGCTGTTTTTACCACAGGCTGAAAACAAACCACAACCGGGACGCTCGAGCGACTGTTGCCACCTTGTGGTCAGAGCGCACTATAAGACAGGCTTTACTCCCATGATTGCAGGTCTGCAGAGCAACAATCAGACTACTTCATCATTTTTTTTCTTGAATAGCTGACACATGTCTGAAACCAGGCCAAACAAGTGAAGTTAAATAGTGTGAGGAGGGTTTTTTTTAGCCACAGAAATCTGTGTCAAATCAAAAGATGCAGATTCATCTGCTGTGACGACCTTGTCAGAATAAAGGAGCAGCTTTATCTTTAAACTAGTGTTTTTGCCCTTGGAGGAAATATAATAATCAGACCCTTCAAGTCCCCAAAAGGAAGAAATGCAGCATTTTTAGCTTCTCTTCCAGTCAGAGGGCTGCTAGTGTTTGTATATATGTAGATGGAGAACTTGTTTCTGTACAGAAAGCCTGATTAAAGCATCTTCAGCATCGCTCTACAAAACAACACCGCTGCCTTCCTGCTGATGTCTCCTTGTAGACCAGTAGACCTTTGTGATGCTCCACCACCTTCCTAAAAATGAAGCTGCTCCGTCAGTCTGCAGGAGAATAAGCTGGTCAGGAGCTCCACATTAAGCAGCTGGTCCTTACTGTTGGTCCCTGATGTATCAGCGAATTCATTTTTCTGCCAGCTGCTGTCAAACGCCACCATGCATGTTAACTTTAAACACAATGTCTGAAATGTAAGAGGTTAAACTTCATGTTACTCGCAGTGAAATCTAGGACTCTGCTCCATTTTTCAATCTGGACGAGTGTAAAATGATTTCCAAATATAGGATGCATGGATCCTTATGTGCTTTAAAATGACCCCAAATGCTTTCTGAATGTGCATTTGAGTGAAATTGCAGTGAACTCCAGATTTTCTGCCCTGTTTCTCACTCTTGAATGATCATTTCTTTTTCTCCCATCCAAGCGAACACTCAGAAATCCCCAGGCAGCATTTCCCTGATGCTCATTTTGACAAAATTTGAAATAAACGCCTACTGTGCCACCATCACAAAAACAAAGAAAAATCAGAGAGAAACTAGGAAATTGATGTGCTGACTATGAAAGTTGGGCAGAAAGAGTTTTACAGGAAGCTAAATCTGGATACAAGAAGAAAGCGTCCGTCGTTTCAGCTCGACAGCGACTTCATCGGCGGCCGATGTCCTCGTCTTTTTTTTTCAGCAGCGCCGGGCAGAGGATGGATATTTGGTCTTCAGGCCCTCTTTGAAGTTGCGAAACAGAACCCGGTTGCGTTTGTTCTCCTCGTCTTTCCTAGCGTGGAACTCCCCCTGGATCTTGAAGCCGCGGTGCACCACAAAGGCAGTGCTCAGCACGGAGAACCTGTATCCGGCCACGTGGAGCTCACAGGCCTGGAGGGAGATTGAACAACAGCATGAGAAGACAGACGTGGAGGTGGGAAGTGATGAGAGCGAACGGGGGGAGGTGAGAGAAGATAATGACACAGGAGACGGTTTTGGTATCGAGGGCAGAAGGCGTGAGAACAAAGGTGAGCGAGCGGACATGAGGAAGGAGAGATGAAATGTCTTCTTCAGGTACGAGGTGTCAGGGAGAGGCTGCGTGGAGCGATGAAACCGACAAAGGTGTGGAGACATTTCCACAGAGGAAAGGAGAAGCTTAGAAAAAGAAGGCCATGAGGTTTAGAAGAGACTACAACCAGACGTCCTGTGACTTCTCGTCCTCAGTACAGGTGTGTCCACAATCATGTGTTTTAGTGTTAAAATGTGTACCTCTTACTGCATTTACATCCTCATCTGAAGTTTTAGGAAGCTTAAAACTCCATAAAAAAGCTGCTGACCCAGTTTTAGTCTGAAAAGTCCAGGATTATAAAAAAAAAGAGATATTTTATGGGATTTCATCCCGCTCTGGGTCACGTCCTCTCCCACTACGGTGACTCATTAAACTTCATTTGTGATGACTCCTAATCTCTTGTCCATCTCCATGACCTCTTTACTCTTTTGTGTTACTTTTAGACTTCCATTCATTTTCCAAACTGTTTATAGTCCTTGATGATAGAAAAAGTGAAGAAAAAGCCTCCATGTGAGTAAAGAGTGAATAAACTGCAGACTTGTGTCAAACTGCGTTTGCAGATCGCACAGAGTAGTAGTGCACCAAGTACTTCTTCCTAAAATGAAAATATACACGACTTACAGTCAAATTAAGAGATTTAAATGCAGAGGTCGGCAAAGTTGTCGACTACTTTCCAGTTTTTTAAAAATACAGCAAAGTATAAATACTGCTGACCTTGGTTGACTGGGACCTGGGCTTTTAGTTTTAGAAGGCTGATTGTTCCAGCCACCAAACACCTGGAACAAGCTGCTGCTTTACTCCTTTAGTCTAAGAGCGATACTGACAGTGTGTGGTAGCTCTCTCCTGTATGTTCAGTGATTGTTGTGGTTTTGTATTTAAACACCTCATGGGCTTCAGCTAACAGGCAGATCTTCTTGAAATCATGACCACCTTTCTCATACCAACCTGGCTGATACGATTGAAGCCATACTGCTTGAAGTTCTCATCGTAGAGAGGCACAGAGCGGTGCCCGATATAAAAGGGCTCCCAGGGGTCCACCCAGGTGAGCGTGTAGGCAACTTCCAGGGTTCCCGTCTCTCTGACGTGGCTGTTTACCCACTGTGAGTAGTTGGTGGGGGCCTGACAACGAGGACACAGCTCTTCATAAAAGGGCCGGACTTCACCGACCTGGTAGAGCTGAACCAGCTCTGCTTTTGTGGCTGGCATCTTCCTAGCGTGGCGGATCTCGAAAGCTGGTAGGACGAAGACCTCGTCACTCGCTGGCTCACGCTTGGCGATCATGGCCATGAACTGCTCATGCAGGTCGGCGCTTGGCATCATGTCCATGTCAATGACCAAGATGTAGGAGGACTCCGTGCCCCCTCTGGCGATGTTACGAAGAAGGTTGTTGGGGTAGGAGATGTTTCCGCTCATAGCATAGTTCTTGTACTTCTCCCCGTGAGTCTCCAGTCTGGAGAACACTGAGGCACAGTCCTCAAGACCTGCAAAATGCTCACGGTCCTGCTCCGGGAAGCTGGCCATCTCTCCAGAGAGGCAAACCAAGTGGAAGTCCACCAGGGCTTGGATGTGAGGGCAGAAGAAGCTGAGAGCGTACACCAGAGCAGTGGCAAACTTCACATCTTGGCCGTGAGCGAATATGGCCACAGAGATGGGGTTCTGCCATCTCTCCAGCAAGGACTCCAGGTAGTGCAGGTTGTTGATAGTGGTGTGTGTAGCTAGAGCCAGGATGTTGGAGCTGGGGTCAGATCCCGGCTTCTCATTCGTGGTGAAGTCACTTTTGATTAAGTTCTTGTACACTCGGTACTGCCCGCTGTTGTCAAAGATCCCGCCGGTGGACAGTGAGTACCTCAGGCGCTCCTTCCGCGAGTTTTTCTCCGGGTGGGCATTTTTCTTGGTCCCGGAGCCTCCGAAGAGCTCCGAGTATCGGTACCGCTGCTGCTTTCCATGAAACTTGGACAGGAAGGACAGGTAGATGAGCTGCAGCAGCGCCACTATCAGCAGGGCGCTCAGCACTACTTTGAAGGCGGAACATTTCTTGGAGAGATGCATCCCAGACAGGCTGCAGGACACAAAGAGGTCCGTAAACCACAGCTGGATGCCTCTTACTGCTCTATTTCTGTCCCAGCTAGCGTCACCGACACTGGCGCCTCAGTGCTAACTGCAGCCTCCTCGGCTGGAAATGTAACTAATACTCGATCGCATGTTTTCCCGGTTAGTGGCAGCGCTGACCTAGATTTCCACACGACTCACAAAAGAACAAATATAGCGATCATCCAGTTTCTGTGATCTCCATCAAAGCACAGCACAGTTGTCAGCAGTCTGCTGCTGCTGCGACAGCGGCGCACACCGATGTGTTATAACCGTAATGACGGAAGTAAAGGCGCCGCTGAATTTACTCCTGGAGAAGTGTTTGCGCTTGTTTTTAATTTGTCCTAAAGGCCAATGTGTGAACCCGTGGATGTTCTAAATACGGTGCCACGTTACGTGAGAACGAAGTCTTTAGAAACAAGCCACATAAATATGGACACTATTCTAATAGGTTGCCATTGAATACAATTTGCTGTTGCGGTAGAGACATTCAGACGAGGTGGCCGAGTGGTTAAGGCGATGGACTGCTAATCCATTGTGCTCTGCACGCGTGGGTTCGAATCCCATCCTCGTCGGTAGCTTTTCACTTTTTCCCACTTAATCCTGAATCACGTGTTTTGTCAGTTACGTAACGCCATATGTTTAAAAATAATCTCAGTTGCTCAGTATCACTTGCTCACATTAGTCCAAACGGACCATGAGGTTTAAATTACAAATGAAGGAGCTTCAATCAATCTGCCTCAATCCCATATAAAACCCAGAATCAATACTATAAAGTGTAGCTATATATAGTGAGAGAGAGAGATAAATATAGATACGTGCAGATATGGCAGTGCACACAGACGCCCAGAGAAAATATCATCTCGCATTTTTTATTGTTTTTGTTCGCTTTTCTTTTCCCCTGTCTCAGTTTACTTTAGTTTCCAGAGTTAATCTGATATTTTAAGGTTTATTTTGTTTGCCTAAGAGTTTTTGGTGTGGTTCATTCTAGTTATCATTCTATAGTTATTTTTGTTGCTGTTGGTTTTGTTTTTGGTGGTTATTTGTCATAGGTAAGATAATAAGTTCGCAAGCACACGGCTCTCTACCACATACTCGTCTCAACTAAACATAAGCTCCAGTCTTTTTATGTTTGACAAAACTAAACTTACAAAAATTACAACTAAAGACATTTTTTATTTTTTGGTTTAGTTTTGTAAACAATCAACATCATTTCCATTTTTCTTTAAAGTGTGGTGTTTCAGTTAAAGTCGTTTCAGTTCCCCACACTAAGTTTGTTATTTATAATTGCCTTGCAAATTAGGAGCAATCCAAAACTTGGACACCAAAATGTACCTTAAAGGTATTATATCTTACGTTAACTGACATGTATTTTCCGGTTGATACATTTTAGGTGTTTTCTGTACTTGAGTAAACAAAGTTATTTTCCTTTCACCGTGTCCAAAACCTTTGGTGAGTGGCAAACTTTTCACTCTCCCAGAAAACCCCCAGAGGTCTTTTTATAAAAACTCAACACAAAAGACTTTCCCCATCTTGAAATCAGTCTTAGATCACCATGCCGAAGGATGTGTCAATTTCTGAACGTCATGACTTGATAGAGCTATAATAAACGATAGAGGTTTATCCTTTGAAAGCAGGTGCTGCACATACAGGCAAATATACAAACCATGCTATGAGAGGGACTCTTTAAACTAGTCCTTTTTCCTTCACCATTCGAGTGTGAGAACAATTTATGATGCACTTCTGTTGAACCTCGTCTCTTGTTGGCTCCACTCCTAATGGAAGTGATGAGATGAACTGAGAGCAACAAGAAAACACAACTGTGACATTTTTTATTCATCATCATTAACAAAAACAAAGGCCTTACAACACATTAACCGTGTGGACAGTGCTCATGGGGTCCTAGCAGGCATTTCCTCAGTTATGGTGGGTTTTTATTATTAAGGTGTGACAGTTACACTTCCAGGTTCATCACCCCTGAACACAAACTGACCTCATTCAGAGCTAATACTCTACATGAAGTCAAATTTTTGCACATCTTTCAAAACGATCTCTTTGTTACATATTTTACTGGATGTTTAGGCGTCCCATTTGTTCTTAGTTTTCAAAATTAATCTTTAATTTTGGCCCAACACGTTAGCAGTTGTATCTTGTGTGAAAAAAAACAAACACTTTCTACAATCTTAAGACAGCAAAATCATGTTTTTAGCTGCTCCTGCGTGAATGCGAGTAAATATTCAGGGGATTGAATTCAATCAGTGAACTGATGTCACAGTATTTCAGCATTAAAAAAGGCAAACATAAGACAGCTTTAACTTTCACACTGAACATAAGGAAGCAGAATACACCTGCTGCAAATTAACAAGTGCGTTAGATTAAGCAGAGATTTCAGTAAACTTCAAATCCAGAGTTATCCTGCAAAGAGTTTGTTTTCCACCTAAACTGTGTGACTCCATCTACGTGTTCAGCACTGCAGAAATCAAAGGGCCCTGCTGTCACTGTCCATGCTCACTACCTATGAAACTAAAACACCGGCTCCGCTTTTGGATCCGCCTCCTTCGCTGTCCCTGGAGGGAGCGGCTGACTGGCCCTTTTCCTCTCCTTCGCCCTCTCCCACCAAACGTATGTTGTAGCGTTCCCTGTACTCTGTGAGCTCCCGCCCCTTCGTCTGCATCTGTGAGTTGATGGACTCGATTATTTTGGAGATCTGTGAGGACAGAAGGAGGAAGAAAATTAAATTTTGAGTTAAATAAGTGTCTGAGTACAATATAGGACGCTATTAAACGCCAGAGCACTCAGTGTTTAAAGAAAAATTGTAAAATGCTCTCATTTCCTCTTCCATCACCTGTTCTTTGTTGTTTTCCAAGGCAGGTAGAACTTCTTTTACTGTCCTCTCCACCAACACTCCTCCTATTAGACGAAAGCATTTCCTCGATGGATCCACCTCCTTCAATGTGTCTACTACTAAGCTGAATAGAAAAACAGAAATGTTAAAAAGAAAACTTATTCAACTCAAAAGGTAACACAGGAATGCCTCAGCTAGTAGCTGACATTGTGATTCCCCAGACTGTGAAATAGTTGCGGTTAAGAACATGCATTCAGTGTTACATTCACATGCACCACCTGGTCTGCCCTAGAGCTTATTACGTATTTAGATGCTTATAATATCAGCCAATGAGTCTCAATTAACCTCCACATCTACAAGTCCACTAGAATCATAAATTTCATCATCAGACAGTGAGTGTGAGGGTCCATGTGTCTACGAGGACTTATCCACGGAGACCACACATGCACTCTGGGAGGTGAACTTAAAAGAAATATAACAGGAATAACGACTCAGCCATCAGGTCTTCCACCAAGTATATTAATACCCATACAAGTATATCTGACACCTCATTTAAGCATTTATTTATTTTTATATTTAAACGTTTTAAGATCAGTTACTTAAACTCAGTTACCAAAGTAACTGCTGCCAACCTGTTCTGGTTGTGCCAATGAACTGTTTGCAAACATGCAAACGTTTCCTAATATTGGAAGTGAGAAATAAACACTTGCTGTGTGTGTTTTTCTGTCATCTGTCTGCTTTTTCTGTGTACACGTGTGTGTGCGCACACATTTGGGCCACACATCGTACATTTGAGAAGGCACGCAGTAAAACCATAAAATAATTTAGCTGCTTCCCAGTGCGTGTTGCAAGCCATGGTCAGATGGATTAAACTCCACCATCTTGGACTTCTGCTTTGAGATCCTCGATGAGCTGGAGGGGCACTGGAGCTAGAACCTGAGCTAGAATTTGACGAGGACCTAGAGTCAAGGCATGACCCTTGATGCCTAGATAACGTCTATCGCCACTAGGATTTCATTCTGCTATCGTAGCATCGGAGTCGTCAAATAGCATAACTGAATTCTGTATATCAATGAATCATGTTCAGTTCTCTCTTTCTTGAACTGCCGCATGAAACTTCTTTGTAAATGTAAACTGTTTAGAGCGGATCAGAAGGTTTGTACCAACCTGTGCTCGTTGATGTCCATCTCCAACTCTGCAGCTTTAGAAGCCATACTGCGCTGTTCCTGACGCATCCTCTGAAATGTTGCCACCACCTGCCACACAAAACCACAGTGAGCACCATCATGGACCAGCAGAGACTGGACATGTAAGCATGTCTGATCCACACATAGTTAAGGTGTAAAAGTCTATGTAACCTCACTTAACAGAAATTCACACATTTTCAGTCATTTTTTGACTATATCATAAAAATAATGGCATTTTAATTTTGAGTAACTTAAACACCTCCTGGTGATCAAAACCAGTGAGCCCTGTTTCTACCAGTGGGGGCTGTGTGGAAACTGTCAGGGAATGTTCACATTAACAATTAACCAGACTTCACTAAAAACACATAAGTTCTCTACAACAACACACACAGCCATCACTATTTTATGAGATGACTGAGGGATTTTAATATCCGCTCAGCATGAGTCTGTGATGGTCACTGCCGTACTCTATGCTGTTCTGTGCTGCGCTGGGACAGCAGAGGGCAGCTGACACCAACAAACGCAAACTGATCCATGATGGACAGCCTGCAGGAGCACCACATGAAACCATTGCATTAATCACATTAATCGCTTTCCACATACTTTTGTTGAGAGCAGCTACACTGCAGGACTTTTGCGGAAGACTCAGTTCATCGTTACAGGTACTTTATGAATATCTGAGTAATGTGGCTTCACGTTGGTTGAGTCGGGCTGGGTGGTCTTCAGTTATAAAAAATAGCATCTTCTATTCACACAGCCACACCACCTCGTTACACACACGCGCACATTTAAATACGTCTAACAGCAATAAACCGCGCTCTAGAAGCGCACACCTGACCCCAGCTCATTATATGAACGCTTAAACCTTCATGTTTAACACCAGCTGCTTGTTAGAGAGCAGACCATGACGGCGATGGGAAGCTAACGTTAGCTTTAGCTATCCGGGACTCAAACTGGTGGCTGTAACTCAACCGCACACGGCCCAACGACAACAATATCAACGACTGCACCGGTGAAGCAGCCTGAGGTGGAGGGGAGGGTACCTGTTCAGCTGACGGGCCGGACTGTTTCCCACCGCTGCTGTTGCTGGATTTGCTACCCGTGCTGCTACTGTTGGCTGCCATCTTGGAAGGGTGTTGCTGCGAAGGACCCAGGAAAGACGTACAGGGCTGGTTTACGCGATTGCCTGTATAGAAACGAATAGAATAAAATAAAGTGTGACTTCATTATGGTATTATTTTCTTTTAATCA